AGCAAGAGGTAAAATTTGTTGCAGTATAACTGATAAATTTAGGCCCAGTGCAAAGGTCGATCTTTTCATGTACCGAATTTAATTACCTTTTTTAGACCCAAATAACATGACAAGTTCGACGGTTGATTCAGACGTCAAACTTGACTAGTCGGCCTCAATTCATTTTCACGATGTTCAATGGTTTAAAATGCGTACAAGTGAAAATGAATTTTAGTAATTTATGCATTAGGTTCGGCACATGAGAAGTTCGACGTTTTTTCACTTTGAAACGAAGTCGCTCACGAAATCCTGTGTTGGCCACTCGATCTTAATTCATGGGTCGACCGAAATTAGACATGTCGCACTTTATTGATTCAAACTTCGATCTTTTCATCTACTTGATTGAAGAGATATGAAAAGATCAACTTTTGAACTGGGCCTTAGAGTTATAAACATAACGAGGATAATGACAGCTGGTCTTTAATTGTTCGTTAGGCGAAACAGCTAGGATTAAGATACGTCTCACGGAAACAAGACATTTTATATTCAATTATATCATAGATACTTTTGGTATTTTAGAAGAAACAAAAAGCCCACTGCGGTGATAAACATAAGGAAATATAAACGTTTTTCTTGAAAGAAATAAAACTTTAACTTGACGTTTCGTATGTTCCCTATGTTCCAACAAACACCTTCAGGGCTGAGTTGCTCAATGCATGGTTAGCTTTAACCATTGGTTAAGCATTATCAAAACCAATACGTTTTCAAGGTATTAAACGCTGGTTAACGCTAACCAAGCTTCGAGCAACTGGGCCCAGAAGTATAAACCGTCGAATAATTGTTTTATCATTCGATCACCAAGTTTGTTTTTTAATGAATAAATATCTTCGGGAAGCGAAGCGATCTGCTATTTTTCTAGACTGCTTGCAGTCCACCTTTTCTCTTAAAATTCGTCTAGTTGTTATCTCATCCAGTGCGATTCCAAACCACGACGTTATTATTAAAGATACAAGACGAGAAAAGACGGACTGCTGACTCTTTTGTAGTAAACAAACCCTCCGTCAGCCCAGAAACGGAGTAACGGATTGGTCAATTGCACAGGTGTTGACAGATCATTGACTGGTCTGTGGTGAGATTGCAACCAATAAAAATAGTCACGCGTCACAACCAATTGCAAACAATAACGAACCAAGCAGTAATCTCAGTAATAAAACTTTTAAGGATGTCTTACAAAAGGAAACTGCTGTAAATTTCCTCAAGGGAAACGCAATCTTACCGGATTTAAAGAAAGAGTAATTTTTACAGTTGTTTATTTTCTATTTATGAATCGTTTCAAGTTACTCGTGTTTATTGAGTAATTAAATTACCTTGACAGCTTCGTTGTCCCCAGACAGAATAAAAGAGACAGCAGTCTCTTATTTTTTATTCTTGGGCTTACGCCCTCCTTTCTTGCGGTTCCCGGCTTCGCCGATCGCGTGCTTAGGTTTCGCGTGCGGTAACTTTGCAAAGAAAAACAAGAGACTGCTCGCAGTCTACTATTTTTCACGCAAGAGCGATCGCAAGAAGGAGAAAAGCTTGCTTTCGTTTACGCATGAGCAGAATATTATTTGCAGCCAAACACTAAGCCAAACACAGTTGGACGACGACATTGCGCATGAAGAGACCATTATTCAAAGGTTTATAATTCTGAAGATGTACGTTGGAACATACGAAACTTCAAGTTCAAGTTTTATTTCTTTCCAGAAATACGTTTAATCTATATCTCCTTAGTTTATCACCGCAGTGTGCTTTTTGTTTCTTTGTAATATCATCGACTAAGCTGTGCCCAGCGGCTCGCGTTTTCATTAATGTATTGCAATACCCAATTTCGCACAAAAAATAGTCTTAATTTAGGATTAAAACAGTGGATTGTTGATACGGTTACCTTGAAGCATTCAAAATAGCTCATGCACGTTAAACGTGCCTATGTTTTTTGTTTTGTTTACAGGTAAATGTGGGGGGTAAACCTTAAGAAGGGGGAGCTTATAAGCGGCAGTTTACGGTACGGTATTTATCATTTGGTTCCATTTGCTGTATCATCAAAGGAAGCTTTTTTTGGGACCACTGAAGATAAAAAACTCTTTTACTGAAAGAAAGGGTTAGCCGTCGAAGTATATCAACGTACTTTAACTTTCCAAGACAACTTATATCACATTACGACAAATACATACATTTTTTTTTTTAAATCACTTTTTACTATACCTACGTTATTACATGTACAATTTGAAATGATAAAAGAAATCCTATTTAGGGATTAAAGTCTAAACTATTTTTAACATTTGTCGCTTTGCATGTTCCTATACATCCTTTGCTTTTGTTAAAAAGCATAAGGAGTGCTACCAGCTAGATCTTCTATAATCTTGTACACATATTTATCGACCTTAACCATTTTACCATACACTGAATTGATGTAAATTAAACATGTCTACAATTGAAAGCATAAAAGGCCTCTATCGAGGTAAACAATTTAGGACTTATTTTAAAATGTTATCGATGGCCTTGAAGGGATCGATCTAAGATCAATATGTCGCTAAAACAATTCTCTTTTGTCTCTCATAAATCAAAACTAATATTGCTCGCCTAAATGTCACACTCTTCTGAGCAGGCCTTCAAGGAAAGAAAGGCCAGGAAAAAAAACGGGAGACTATTTCCATGCATCCGTGACGTCTCGGAACACGTGAGTCCTCGTTGATTCCTGATTCTTGTACAGGATGACGTACTAATGTTTCGGTTTGTTCCCCATGATGAGTCAAAGGTGCGTAAGACGATGCGGCCATATCGTGCTTTTGAAACGACAAAAAAGAAAAAAGTTGAACAGAAAAGTCAAAGAAATTACGGGAAAAATGTTAAGCTGTCAATAAATAAAGAACTATCTAAAATATCGTAGACTTGTTGATTAGCTATGGACCTTTACATTATTGATATAAGAATTAAACCCGGTATATAAGTTAGATGCAAAGATGCTGTTAGGTAAAAAAAACAGTCGGAATTGAGTGCCGTAAAATGAAACCAACTTGAGTAATTAGGAAAACCACAACGGAAGCCGACAAACCAATGAACCAATTAGATTTCATGTATGTAAAGCAGTCCAGTGTAAATAGATGATTTTCCTTTTCTTGCTATACTACTTATGTTCTCGACGATATTAGCCTTTCAGGCTACTCTGAAATTCAAGTATAATTAAAGGTCATGTCTGTATGTAACGAAGTTGATGAGCCGAGTTTGTGAACTTTGCCTATTTTCATTGATTTTTATTGCCGTTTTTTTCTCATTATTCTGTAGAGTTTTGCCGATTTTGACAGACCATTTAATTTTGCCTTCATTTGTTGTTGTTCATACTGAGCTTCGATCCTAACTCTACCTTTATTAAAGAACACAAGCCGAATTTCATGGGGGGCAGGAAAGATGGCTAACTTTATACTACTACATGAGAAATTTCTGCAATTTGATTGGTTTAGAGCAGTGGTATTTCAGCTTAATTTGAAATACCTACATGTGAAAATTACAAAACCTTTGCGGGTAGTAGTATATAAACAAATAATAGCATGATTTGTACGTGATTTTTGGCATAAATACCACTCGTGACATTTCAAAATTGTCTCAAATTTCACTCGCCAAATTACGTATAACAATTTTGAAATATCACTCGTGGTATTTATGCCAAGTACCACTACAAATCATGCTATTACCTATACTAATTAGAAAAGTCAAATTCTTATATAATGAACACTGAAGAAAATTGGTTTGCTTTCCATCACCCACAATTCTACCAAGGTCATAGCTTCACTGCGTTTTTCTTTGAATCGTCATCAATTCACTCGATCTCTCAAAGAAGACCTCAAACTACCCTTTTCATCCCGGCATCATAACCTTTTGAATCAGTTAACATTTAAATTGCAAACTATTGTACATGTTATTACAAACATTAAAGTAGATCAGTGACGCATCCAGGCCTTCAGATAAGGGGAGGGGGGAGGGGTGGGGCGGTCATCCAGACCGCCCCAGGAATAAGCGGGGGGAGGCGGTCTCCGAAAATTTTTTTCCTAGACCCTTTGGGCCTTAGTTTGGTCTAAAAATAAGGGGGGGGGGGGGGTGGGGGGGGCTCCCCTAGATCCGCGACTGTAGATAGCTAACTAACTACCTCTCTATATATTGAATCACGTACCTTCCGCCTAAAATTTGTCCATCGCTAAGTATAACGATAGCTATACATACGTTTACATTCTTCAGTGATGTATATTGGCAGACAAAAGTCAAATGTTTCGGCTTGTTCCCGAAAACGGGAACAAGCCGAAACATTGGACTCGCATCGCCAGTCTTCATAGGCCCTCCAGCGTTCTGTTACAAATACAGTAAGTTAAGAAACCATACATACTCTACTTTGAAATACCGACTTTTAATTTGCCACTGAGTGTTCAAAAAGCAACACCAAAACACTTTTAATTACACTGACTGAAAAAAGGTAAAGAGTCCTTATTTTACTTCAGTATCTCGAAATAGTCATTGGAATAATAAACCTGAAGCCGACGGTGTGCTTATTCTACGCCCCCCTTCGCTTCTTTCCATCATTGCTCCACAGAAAACTACACAGAAACCCGAGAGAAGTCGAATGAGGAATTGCGGTCACACCTGGGAATCGAACTCGGGACCTCCCACACAGAATGCCGCGCACTAACCAACTGCGCAAATCCGCCTATCCTATCACAAAACTCGCCCACACAATTAAATACCCTAGTCCCAGAGGTTTTTCGTGACATTTTTCTCCAAGTAATTTCAAGAAAAACCTCTGGGACCAGGTTGACAAACTTACCGAAACGCGAAGCAACTAATGAATTTTTCAAATTGTTAGTTACCCAGTAATATCTGTACTATAGTAAGTGTTTATCTACCGGTAAATTTATTCATTAGTACAGAAATAATCATTTAATACTGTTGCTGGTGTGTAAGGCCTAAGTGGCTAGATTACAAGATAAATAAATTACCTCTTCTGGTTGGCGGGTAACACCGAGTGAAGGAGGTCGTCCCCCAAAGTACTGCATGTTGAATCCTTTACTCAATTTGTCTAGAAATGTCAAATAAGTGTATAATAACCATGAATAACCCACATATGTGAAACAATTATTGCAGGGGCGTAGCCAGGATTTTTTCCGAACTACGGAGAAACTAAATGAATCGAAGGGGACTGTGCCTCTTAAAATGATTATCTTCTTTTATTAATGTTCTTAATCATAATCTCTAATTTTGTTGTGTTTACTATGTTTTTTTTTTCTTCTTGGACTGTCTTCAGTATTCAGGTACGCACAGGTGGCTACGCCCCGGTATTGGTTAAAGTTCTTGCCATGTCTGGAGTAACCTAGCCTGCAGCACAGCCGGACTTGCATCCTGGCCCGGGGGGGGAGGGGTACTTCTGGGAAGTCTTGGTAGGGGTGAGAAGCCGAGTTCTCAAAATCCTGACCCCGTTTCAGACCCAAAATGTCATTTTTCACACCCGTTTTCAGACCTGGCCTCTTAAAAATAATGTCATTATTACTTATATTAGAACAGCAAGAAAAAAGATTTCTAAAAATACATTTCGAATTCGCATATTTCTCTTTATGACTTACTCATTTGGAACTGAGACGATAAATACATTCATACACTCCCGTAGTTCCCTCGAAACCCGTACCCGATTCCAGACCAAAATGGGCAAAGTCCAGACCAAAACGGCCCCCAAACCCTATCCATGGGGGCGGCACATACTTATATGGCTTATATAAGGGAGTACCCCCCGGGCATCCCGGCCGAGAATAATCTGCTGTTCGAGCTCATTGTTCTTCACTCGAGTTTTTCACGTGACCTTTTTCATCCAAGAGAAGATGTCATTCTCTTTCGTTTTATTCCGGATAGACCGGATAGTACAAGCCCGGATCCAATAATGCGGGTTAAACAGAGACTAACAATTAATTCCAAATCGCTGCAAGTACACAAAAGAAATGCCATAAAATTGGGCCTAAAATCGCCGCTTAAAGCTGGACAAGAGCGCAAAAAAGTCCATGTAACGGCATTAACGAAGCAACTTTTCTTTGGCCTGAGAACTTGAGGCTCTCTTTCCTCGATATGAATTCGCGTTCGAACTATAAGGTCTATAAGTTGCCTCTGCTCGAAGGAGCAATGACAGACCTCGCTGTGAAATGAAATGTAACGGGTCTGTCTGTACTGATCCCAGCACTGATGGAATTTATGGACTTTGGAAAAAGCTGCAATAAGTTATTGAGTTAAGTTGCAGAAAGTACGAGCCGATAAAAGAGCAAATGTTCTTTCTTTGATTTCTTTGTTTTTTCTTCTTGTATTATTCCCGTTCAAGGAGGACCATGTTTACGTAATGATCAAGTCTTACCTGTATCATGCAGCCCTTAATTTTATCTCGCGGGTTTGTAAAAAATAAGGTTCTTCATGATGTTGTAGATATTTTAAACGGAAGATCACATTTAGTCCTCAGTAGCTGAGCAGATGAACGAGAAAATCCGAAAGATTCAGCATTTAGCTTTTTGGCTATAGTAAGAATTCGCTTTTTTGCTAGACGAAACCTGTTCATTCTAGTATACTAATAATAGCTATGTCCATTTGCGTGACGAGCCAAAAGAACGTCTGCGTGAACGGCTACATTTGAACGGGCTTAGGAAAGCTCCCGTACCACCCCCCCGCCCGCTTCTTGAATCCAGCGCCCCCACTGCTGCGCCGGCCTAGGAATGGTACCTTGGAAAAATCGGAAAAAGCTCAAACTTACTTGTTTGGCTGACCCTTAGGCTCGATTTCCCCCGTCTCCCGGGTCCGGTCTTTGATCCTCCCCGAAGCTAATAGAGACTTTCGGGGGATGAGTGCGGGCTCATTTTCCCGAACAGCGGCTGGTAATCGAGCCTAGCTGACCCTTCCCATGACCCTTTGCATTAATTAAACTGTTTAACAACCCATTGATTGCCTTATTATATCCAGACGTAAAATCGACGACTTCAATGCCATCATTGAAATCAATGAGTAATCAATAGGTAATCGATGGGTAATCAGTTGATTAGTCATTGATTATATCCGATATTCAATGCCGAGTAATCGGTGAATAATCGATAGGCCACAAAATTTTCAGTCGGCGATCAGTCACTGTTTAATTATCGATATAATCCCGCGGGCACGCAAACCGAACCAAATCGAAAGTAAAGAAACAAAGACTTCTTTGACATAAATGTCACGATACAAGCTTTACTTATTCATGATCTTTTACCCGCTAGGCACTCTGTGGTGGCTGCGTTTCTCAACGAAGACACAGTAAGTCAGATAACTCGAACCTCTGAACATTTTGTCTATAATATTCCTGTTACTGTCCGATAAATAAATTTGATATGCCGTTCTGTGTTTACATTGGTTTTCTACATGCAAGTTCAATTCCTGTTTGGCTACTATTATCGTCCCATTATCGTCAAGAACCATTAACGTAAATTTTTATCACCGGAACTAAGTTGAGAAAAAAAGATGCTAGAAATTGTATGAGATGTGTATGATGACCGTGAGCGGTCGTCCTTCTTTCCTCAGAGACACAAGAGGAGAGCGAAAAAGTAAACCGGCTGTGACTCTCGCGGTCTAAATCAATGACTAATCGATGGATAATCGTTAAATAATCGATGAGAGATCGAACGCATCAATTACTCATCGATGACATCACCGAGTAATCGATAGGCCACAAAATTTTTGACCATCGATCAGCCATCGATTACCCATTGATTATAGCGAATAATCAATGACAAATCAGTTGATGCCACTCAGATTACTCATCGATTACTCATTGATGTCATTCATCATCGATTAGTTACGTCTGGTTATATATATATATATCTACAAAACCACGCTACCTCTCACCAGTTTATTTCAGTTTTAAATTATTTGCCTTACCTCAGTGTAATTCCCTTAAATTGCTGCCACGCCACTATTTATTTCGAAAAAACACAATGGCTTTTATCAAGGTATTAGAACTGCTATAAAGTCAAAAATTGATCATGCTTGTAAAATCGCCTGTTTGAGATGTAGTCATAACCTGGCTCAAATTCCAGAAATGAAGCATTTTCGTTAAATAGAAGCCGAGAAAATGAAGGCCAAAGTTGGTATCTAAGAGCGCTATTTTGGAAATATTAATAATCACACAGCTGAAATCCGACGCGATACTTTCCGTTGTTGACAGAAATGTTGCAATTTTCGCAAACCGACACGCGATAACGCGTTATGAGTTTCATGTAAGCTAAGGCAAATTGTGGCAAAATTCGCTTACAGTCTGCTTCCCCAAATAAAGTGTGTTTGTTTTGATCTTTCTTAAACATTTCTATGGCTGAAAAAAGCCTTCTAGAGACACATTAGATAGATGATCCTTGCGAGGTCGACGACAGGTAAGGCCGCAGTTAAATGACCTATTATACAAATTACCGCTTTGCTAAGGTTTACAGTTGATTTCGACGCCATATTGAGAGGACGTCACGAAACGAGTTCAAACAAAGATTTTCTCATTTTTTCGCCGCGCTCCGTGCTACAATCGGGTCATTATCACAACAAACATCAAGAACGGTGGTTTACTAGTAAGAATTCAAGATGGCGACGAAGAAAACAGCACAGCGCAACGAAAATTAAGGGCGAATTAAGGGCGATTTTTGCTGCTGCGTTGGACCGCACTGAAAACAACTCGATGTAAAAAGATGAGGATTTAGAATACCGCGCTGAAACTTGCTAGGTTTATTCACACACTGTTAAGGGAAAATGCATTAAATTCTCGGAATAAAGGGAACATTTTGGAATTTTTAGCGGCGACCTGAAGTTACACTATGATCCTCGGAGACCAAGGGGCAACTAGTCGGGACGATAGCATGTCCTTGGTGAAAGTTTTTCACCACGAACATTCTATCGTCCCGACTAGTTGCCCCTGGGTCTCCGAGGATGGAAGTTACAGGGCATTATAGAAAAAATTCCACCTCTATATCTGAGGAAAAAATTTCCGGGAACTGCCGGGAATTGATAGTTAACTGATGAACAATCTAAGTATAAGTCAGTTCCATTGTTTTTTTTTATTCCTAGCGATCGAGGTAAAGCCAAAAATATGGAATTATTGAATTTTTGAGCCTGCGATATAAATCGGAAATTGGCTCCTCAGATATCAATTTTCTGAAAGCTCAGCTCTCGCTTGATAGACCTGTGTAATTTTTATTTTGCAAAATTCTTTAAGGGTTAATCATGAGATCTAATACGTTAACTGAACAAACAGATTCTATCAAAACCCATATTGTTTCGACGCCGGCCGTACGAAAACAACTACCTACCTCTCTCGATTATTGAAATTGCCTTTCTGTTACCAATTTCTTTCAGACCGCTAAGCAAGTCTTGTAGTGGAATTTCTCGAGAGATGAGATCTTTTATCAAGGCCTTTGCTGGGCGGCTACCAGTCATTTGTATCTTGTTGATATCATGAGCTGAATAAGTGGAAGCAAATGTGTTACTTCCCATTAGTTCCTTCCAGTTCGTCAGGGTGGATATCTCCAAGGCGTGGGAGAGGTCGTCGATGGTCTCAATAGATAAGTATTTGACTTGAAACATTTCCATTTCCTGTTAAAATTAATAGATTCAATCAGAGTAACAATAAGTTAATAGTAATAACTTCCCTGAAGTCAACATCTCCTGTTTTTCTCGTTCAAGAAAGAACGAAAGACAACCTTTGCCAGAATAGAACCGAAAACAGAAATTATGATCAGCACTGAGATCAGTCCAAAAACCAACTCCGTCTTTCGATTACACGATAGGCAATGAGCTACATTGTGTCTGAGAAGTAATCATGATGGTGACTTCATTTCACCCTTTATCCGTGAACGTTAAACTGCTAAAAAGCCCATTCAGCGTTCAAAACGAAAGTGAAACATATGTTGACGCGATAGCTGATAAAAGCTTCGAACAATTTTACCTTTGTTTTACCACGCTTTCGCCAATATTTACAAAATTAATAATTATACTGACAAAAATAAAAATAATAAAATAAAACGGACCGGTACTGATTTGGTCAATCATGTTGTTAGAAATGAAACAAATAAAAAAATTGGACATGAAATTTGACACCAGCTGCTGGTAACCTGAGATCAGGCTCTATTTTCGTTTCGCTTTGAAAATAACATCCGGGGGGGCAAGGCGAATCGAAAATAGAGCCTGATACAAACCTTCTACGAAATGTCTTCCGCCCACTTTTTTGATTGATTGACATTTGCCGAATCAGCCAACCAAAACTACTTCCGTCGCTTGTTTTTCTAGTTTGCAAATTTTTCATACTTGGGAAAAATGCAGACTCGTTGTTTTGAAAAATAGCTTTTATCTTTTAATTAATTTTTTCAACTAAAAATAAAACGGTCAGCACAATCACATTTAACTTCTTGCGAGATTAAAGGAGATCTCGGAGGTTTTCGAAAAAGACGGCGACACGATGTTTTAGTTTTAATATCATAGGTGACGAATTACTCCTTAATTTTGGCGTGAAATTTCAGCGATAGTTTGTAATTTCACATGTGAAATTACAAAATTGCCATGGCAACCTTCCGTGCGTCTCAGTGTCAAAAATGGCGACGAAGTTTTGAAATGTCATGAATGAAGATGCCAGGGCATATAAAGACGCTTTAGAAAACCTGAACACACCAAAGAGAACATCAAGAAGGATTCTAACAGGTATTTTGTCGAAAATTCTAAGCTTGAGTCAAATTTAAGCTCTAAACGTTCTCGAGAGTGGAGTTTTCGATCGATACGATCCAGGATAAACATGTCAAAAATCCAAGATTGCCAACGTAATTCGTCACCCATGATATTAAAAGGTAATCAAATGGTATACTCGTGAAATTAGGGAATAATTTCACTTGCGTCTTGTCCAAATCCTAATAATTATATTATTTTATAAGGATTTGCACAAAGCGCGCGTGAATTTGTTCCCTAATTTCATTCGTCACCATTTGATTACACACACTAATCAAATGGTATACTCGTGAAATTAGGGAATAATTTCACTTGCGTCTTGTCCAAATCCCAATAATTATATTATTTTATAAGGATCTGGACCAAACGCGCGTGAAATTATTCCCTAGTTTCACTCGTCACCATTTGATTACACATACTTATATTTTGGCTGGGCGCGCTCGAATTAAAAAATACTGAAATATCTATTTGTCTGTTATCTTAATATTTTCCTCAGCCATTTTTCCCGATTTTTAGTACATAAAAATTTTTAAAAATCGTGGAGAAATATATCGCAAACTTTTTCAAAGGATATATAAATTATCTCAGAACAAACGAAACGAGTTCTCAGGTACATTTAATGTAGCTGATTTAGTCCCGTGCGTACACTTGCAATTTGCGAATTTACCAGAGAAACAAACGTCTAAAAATATATATATATATATTTTATAAATCCAGGTAAATATTAGCTGCCACTTTGAAAAAACGAACGGAAACTTCTAAAACTGCATGGTCAACTGACCTATAGACAAAACGAAAAACAACATTACAAAAAAACTTTGTAGCTCTCAGTTATTTTACTGCAGGTCGACCTGCGGGTCTAAAAACCAGCCAAACGAGCGAGGAAACCAGTTTTCCTGGTTCGTTTTTTACGAAAAGCGAAGGCAAACAACAAGTCTGTCACCTTAACACTAGCGCCACCAGCTTTTATGATAATGCCTACAAAAATTCCTTGAACAGCGATGCGATGTTTTTCGTTTAATACTTCACAGTTGGCGATTGAGGTTTCTTTCGCAATGAGCCTCCGCTTGCGTACCCCGTTCAGAAAAGTCATTCTCGGCTAAACTTTCAAATGAAACCACTTTTAAGATGGATAGTACTTTGTTCTGCACTCGTTTGTTGGTAAATGAAAAAGCACCTTGTTCAGGGGCGGATCGAGCATTTTTTTAAAGAGGGGGTGCACTCCCTTACCAAATCCAACACTGTTTTGAATGTATTTTTAAGCTATTTTTGAAAACTGTTTTTAACCTGTTTAGTGAAATAGGTTTTAAATAGGGTGAAAAGTGTATTTTTAATGTATTTTTCGACTGCTTTTAAAGGTGTTTTAACCTGTTTAAAACGCTATTAAAAAATAATTTTTAATGTATTTTTAAATTCGTTTAAAATATATAAAAAATTCCAGGGCTTTTGCAAGGCTCAAAAGAGGTCTAAAATAGTTTTTAAATATCTTATAAATCGGAATAAAAATAGGATAAAAACAGTTTCAGAAACATATTTTAATTTGCTATACTATTTTAAAACTATTTTTAATGGCAATTTTAAACGTATTTTGAAAAAAACAGGTTTAAAATAGGTCCA